CTGGGGCCCAGTTGTAGCCAGCCAGAGGCAATCCCCAGGAGATGAGCTGCACTGTATAAAGGCCCTGAAAGGCATCTCAGGATCCCCCAAGAACCAGTGTGGCTGGGCTGGGTGGCCCTGCAATCAGGGGCAACTTCTCCTGAATCCTCCCGGACACCCAGGCAGGAATCAGGACCCAGGAATGCAGAGCCCCACTCCCCACACCAGGATACCAGTCTAGGACTCCAGCCCTTGTAACCCTCAAGGGTGGGCTACAGTGTGGGAAGCCCCTCTGAACAAACACCTTCCAGTCTTGATGCAGGGGGCTCCGCTAGTGACTGAGGCCTTGTCCCAGCTCAGATAGCAAGGCATGGCTTCAGGTATAGGCATACCCACTAGGGTTGAATTACACTCACCTGCTCCCTTGTAATCCTACCCCTTCTGCCCTTTTTCTAAGGAAAGTGTCCCCCCCAAATAAAAGCTCACTTCTAAATGTGCCCCTGTCTCTCTCTCGTCAACCTCTAGTGACTTTTTCTTGCTCTCCCTTGTGGGGATCTTGAGGCCAAGAGCCAGGGAAAGCCATCCTGAAGCTTGTGTAAAGGTAATTCATGTCTGTTTTACTTTGTGTCACCCCAAATTCACACGAGTGACCTTAGCTCAGCTGCCCAAGCTGAATGGGCTAAGGGAGCCAAAGACACAGACCACACCAGCAGAGTCTGTGAGGAGGCAGTGCCTGGCCCTTACTGAAGGCATTATATACATGCACTCTCCAAAGGACGTTGTGCAGCATGACCTCCAAGGCTTTGGCTGGCTGGCTGTCAGCTAGCCCTCGAAAGCACTTCTGCCATGGAGGAGACAGGGGAACCAGCTGAGCCTCAGGAGCTAGGCAGAGGACAGGGAAGACCAGACAGGGTTGAAGGAGGTCACTGCCAGGCAGGGTACAGTGGCAGCAAAGCTCCAGGACCCACAGGCTTTTGTGACCTGTCCACAGTGAGTACACAGTTCAGGTGAGCATAAGGATTCACAGATTCCTCCGGAATCACCTGGCCTGGTCATCTGCCTCCCTGGGTCCTCCCCAGAGGAGCAGGGAACCAGCATTTGCCGACCGTGTCTAGGCCTTTCTGGACAGGTAACCCCAGCAGCTATGAGGCAGGTCTGTCACCACCTTATGGACCACGGGACCGAGGGTGGACAGTGCCCTTGATCACAGGACTTGTGAGCAACAGTTAGGCCTGACCCCACTGGGCAGTCACATCCACAGAACAGGATCACCGCCCGCTTGCCAATGCCAAGGACCACCTCACAACAATAAACTCATCTTAGCCTCAATAATCAGCAGAACTTAAGAGGTAAATGCCATGACCATCTCCAATAGAGGAGAAGCCCAACAGAGGGAAGAATCATCAGGTGTCTAGCCAAAGCCACTGGCTGGAGGGGAGCAGAGCCCTGAGCCCCTCAACCATACCCAAGGCTCTATCCCATGCCAAAACACAGTCACTGCTCTGACACTCTCTGACATGCTCAAGGGTTCCTGTAGTCCCACCCCAGGGCTGTCATAGGTGTAGAAAGGGCTCCTTTCTGGGGCTGGGGTTGTGGCTCAGTGGTAGAGCACTTGCCTAGCATGTGTGAGGACTGGATTCTCAGCACTGCATATAAATAAAATAAAGCTTCATCAACAACTAAGGAAAAAAAAAACGTTTTTATAAAAGGGGGGGCCTCTTTTGCACCCTGATGTCCTTAGAAAAGTAAGGAAGTACCTCTCTGGGTTTGCTCCTGGAAAGTGACATTTGTGGTTGCTGTCTTCCAGGCTCAGGAAGCCGATGCCACCTGTCTCAGCTATGGCGACCTAGAACTGTCTGAAACACCTCAATTCAGTACGAAAGACAAGGTGACCCCAAGTGAATACAAATCCCCACGCCCCTCTCTGCCAGTGCAGGGCTGCTACTTCCTAGGTACATAATGAGCCTTGGTGGCTGCAAGGACCTCTCTACCAGGGAACCAGGAGGACCCAGTTGTGCATAGTTCAGACAAAACCAGAGGACTCCATGGGGCTCAGGATCTGTCCAGGAGACTGGGAGGTGGGAGGGGCTCTGATGAGAACCCCAGCCTCAGGGTCCCTGAAGAGTATGAAAAACAAGGTTGGGAGCCCTGAGGCAGGACTGGTGCTATGCATGCTAAGGGTGCCTGGTGCTACTGGTGCCTGCACAGAGCCATCCTCTCAGCAGGTGGGCACTCAGGCCTCTTCAAGTCAGGTGTCCTGAACTCACTGAGATGGTTCAGACCAGCGGTGTATTCATTAGCAGCCAAGGACCTGAAAACCACAGATGGTGGAGAGCCCCGCACTTGTCATGGATGACCAGAACTCAGTGGAGCTTGGTCAGCCTGAGCCCAGTAAATCCAGGGAGCTCAGGGCTACATTTCCCTCACACTCAACCACAAGCCTTACTGTCCACCCAGGAGGGTGCTGCAGAGCCACAGAGGACATGCTGTAAATAGAGGCATTTCTCTCCTGCCCAGTAGCCCTCCTACGCCCCATGGATCTTTCTGGAAGGACCAGGGACACCATGTTGGGCAGGTGCACCCCCATGTGTAGGATAGCTCAAGAGGGACACACCTCAGGGGCAGGAATTCCAGAGCCCAGTGGATCTCAGAGCACCTGGCACAGAAATGAGAAGACCATCTCTCTGCATAAGAGAACCGAGGCTGAATACGCAGAGGGGTCCGAATGAAAGCGAACTTCACGTCCACCTGACATACAACAAAGCCTGTTTCACAGTTGGGAAGGGGTTGCTTTAAATAGTGCAGCAACACACAGGGAAGGGACTGGAAAGAAACCTGGCCGGAATTGCTGCTGGAGAGAATCCACCAGGCCGCCAAGGTGGCCAGCTCTCTGCAGCAAATTTAAACACTCAAAAAGTTAATTGCATAGAACTATGAAGAGGTAGCCTCTACAATACATAAAGCACTCATTCAAATCTAAGGAAACTGACCAAAGTGGCCCCAAACACAGACAAACCTTGAGAGAATGAGTGAACACACAGGTCATGGAAGCAACCGTAGCTCCTAGGCTCCAGTCTCAGGCAGTCCTGGCTCACACTGCAGGCCGGGGCACAGGGCAGATCCCACCAGAACTCCCGCAGCACTGGGTTAGCAACATAGTCAGGGAACCACGGGGACAGGATGCAGCCCAGAAGCAAAGCCAACAGCTGCCGTCCACTCCAGGAAATGTGCCCTAAAACTCTGTAACAGGAGGAAGCCAAGACAGAAAGGACAGCAGGAGACTCAAACACCTGTCCCCAAGCAATCCTAAAGACCCAAAGCAACAAGACAGGTGAGACCCCTGGAGATCCACTGACATGCAACCCCACCTGAGGTGCAGTTACAGCTTACAAGAGCTGCCCACAAGCAATAGATGCAGACCTCAAAAACTCACAGGAAAATCCCAGGAGCTGTGTGTGTACTCACCCAGCAAGAGGTGCAGGAGACCAACCTTACACGTAACTGAGTCACACTCCCTGGCTGGGTGCTGAGGCACTCAGTCGCAGGAATGTGGCAGAGCTTTCCCCACCCTTTTTGAGTGCAAGGGTCCGTGTCTCATGCATGGGTGTGTCTTGCTATAGCCCCATGGGTCGAGCTACGCTCACCTGTTCCTTTGTAATATAACCCCTTGCCCTGTTTAGGATAGAACCTTCCATGGAATTGCCTTGTGTGTGTCCCCTTCTTACTGTGCCCTTGGGGGTGGCCTACCTAGATGTCAGTCAACCTGCCAACAGTGGACATCATGAAGATAGACTCAGCCCACTGAAACTGACCCCTTGCCTCATCTGAATAGCTTCTCCTCAATAAAAGGGGTCAGCTCGTGCTCTCACTCTCTTTCTGCGGACCCTTAAGGTCAGAGAGGCCATCACAGCGACCCAAAGAAAAAGGTATTTGTGTCTCTTGTGGGGTTATTTCGTGCAGCCCAGTTAGCCCAGTTTAACTGGAGTGACCCCTGAGCCTTTTAGTCGCGAGAACAGAAACCCGGCAAAGAGGTAAGAAAATTATGTACAGATTCCATGGAGTGCTGGGAGACCACAAAGAATGACTGTCAGGGCTGGGGCTGGGGCTGGGGCTCAGTGGTAGAGCACTTGGCTAGCACATGTGAGACACTGGGTTCAATTCTCAGCACCACATTAAAATAAACAAAGGTCCACCAATAACCAACAAAATATTTTAAAAAATGACTGTCAGAGTAGAAAACAAAAATGACAGCTACCTAAACTCTGAAGATTAAAGTGCACAATGGGAGGGTTAAAAAAAGACCAGGGCAAATAACCCTGCCCAGAGGGGCTGTGTTCCAGTCACATCCATTGCCGGTCTCAGGGCTCTGCTGTCCCAGGGCAGAAAACACCACTTAGGCATCTAAGAGGCTTCTCTCCAGAACACGTGGTGGTGGGTAGGCCCAGGCCTCGTGCCTCACCTACCAAATGCGCACCATCAGGCAAGGCCACCCTCCACCCTGCAAGCCACAGCTCAAAACAGAAGCTTGGGCTAAAAAGGCTGCTTGGTCAGAAACAAAAGACACCAGGAGAATGCAATTAGCAAAATCCAAAATAGGGGGTATGTGACAATAAAAACAGCCTGCTGCCACATGATGAAAACAGCCAAGAGAAACAGTAGAGATGGCGGGAGGCAATGTGCAGCCCACGCCAGCACCTGACTTGTACAAGGAATTTGTGTGAGACGGTCAGGAAGCGGTAGTCGTATGTGAGCAATATTGAGTTTATCTAAGTTTATCTTCTTTTAAGAGCCCTTAAGAATAGACACTAAAGAGCTTAGGAATGAAATGCTATGGAGTCAGGCACCGCTTCAAGATAATTCCATACCTGTCTGCTGCAGGCGGTAATGGCCATGTGTGCTTCCCATCACTGTTCTACTTTAGCATTTTCAGACAAATCTTTTAACAGTACAGGTACCATGGGTAACCTACAGGGCACCCAGATCCCTCCCTCCCTCCTGCACTTCCCGGGGCAGCCACACACCTTTCCTGAGGGAGGCGAGGCTCCTCTGGTCCAGCTCCAGACTCTGCACCAAAGCACTGGGGTCTATCTGGGTCTTGGCAAAGATGTCAGTGTGGATGAACGCCCAGTCCTAGTCCCCCAAAAAGAAAGAAGACATCAGGCTGGCTCCATGTTTGAGAGGGAAACATGTCCCCACTCTTCTCTGCCAGGGAGGACCTGGGTGTACCTGTCCCCAGAGCAGGCTGTGCCCGGCCACCACTTTGCCTCCATGCACAGGCAGTCTCTGCTCCTGCTACACCTCCCGACTATACTGCAAGGGGCAACCTCAGGGGGCAAAGCCTCACCAAGGAGCCAGCTCCCTCCAGCCCCTCACGGGCTTTCTACCACACTCCCACTTCACAGGAGATTCTGCCCTCCAAGTCACTTCCAGCACGCTGAAGGGGGAGGGACCCATGCCACCTGGCTCCTTCAAGGCCCAAGCTCCATGACCCCTACAGGGACGCACCATGACCCCCAGGGAGGATTCCCCTCTTGCAGAAGCTAAGGGCACTGAAGATGATGGCAGGTGGAAGAAGAGATGAAACCCAAACAGAAAATGTGGGCCCGGTACTGTACCATCAGGGATGGGAAGCTGAGGTTGGAGCTCTGTACAGACAGAGCCTGTGGAAACAGTTCTCGGCTTCCTTCAGCCTCTCACATGATCTAGTCACTTCTCACAAGTGCCTCTGGCCAACCAAGGGCAGCAGCACTGGGGAGAAGCACTGGCGGTGCAGCTGGATGGCAGAGCACGTGTGCTTAGTATCTGGCAGGCCCTGAGCTCAATCCCAGCACATAGGCGCGCACACACGCACACAACACTTAGGTTCTGCCTGTGGATCTTTATTTCCTTGCCAGCGCTCCCATGTCATGTGTAAGCTCTAAGCAAATCAGAATGCTTTTCTCCTGTCCCTGTGTCTTACATTGCCCCACCCAAAAAGCCCTAAGGTCAATGCTGCCTCCCCACCTGGCAGAGACAGAGACAGAACCAGCCAGCGCCAAGCAGGGGCAGGGCAGGACCACAGCTACCTGCGCTTCTCCCAAGGGTCGGAGGAAGTTGGCAAGGGAGGAGGAGAGGTCGAAGGAAGTCGGCAAGGGAGGAGGAGAGGTCAGAGGGCTGCCCAAGAGGGAGAGGCCCCTGGGAGGGGAAGGGCCTGGTGGATGCCCTCTGGATCACCATATGCCCAGGTCTGTACCCATACTGGGACACTTTCCTAGAGTGCCACTTTGTATCTCATCACTGCACAGCTGCAGAGATTAACACATATTAACACATATTATACTGTCTGGCTGTTCCAGGACAGGCAAACAGTATCAATGTAGAAATTAAAAATCCTGCTTCCCTCGCTACTCCACATTAAAGTTCAATGACTGCATTCTTCATATATCCAAGCTCTATTTGTTGCTTTTTCCTCCAAATATGCCTTTTTTTTTTTTTTTTTTTTTGCTTTCTGCTGCTTTTGAGACCAGGTCTGTTGGCACAGCTGGCCTCCTGGGCTCCAGTGACCCACCCACCTCAGTCTCCCCGTGCCCTGTGCTGTCGTAACCGCTCCTCCCTCTCACTGGGCTCAGTGTCTAACATTTTCAGAAACACTTCCAGGCTCCATGGCCCACTCTGAAGTCACATGTCATGTTCCCGCTTCCTGCTCAACTCACTCATGTGCGTCACTTCCTTCTCCCTGAGGTTAATCTTGTGTCCAGCAGGATTTGACCTGCTGCTAGAATCTCACAGGCCTGGCTAGCACAGGAGGAAAGCCAGAGCCACAGGGGAGATGTGGCCTGGACAGGCCAGTAGGGTGAGAGAGACTCCCCACAGCAACCATCTCAGCACAGGAAACTGTCCCCTCACAGGGCCTCTGGCCAAACTCTCTCCACCCTCACCTCACAGAAACGCCCAGGATCTAGGGCTGGGACCTTGGTGGGAAGGAGGGGCAGGTGCCAGTGTGCCCTCCCCCACCTCTGGATTACAGGGTGCACCCCTGTAATCCAGAGACTCTGAAGCTGAGCAGCAGAATGCAAGTTCAAGCCTATCCTGGGCAACTCAGCGAGACA